GACAGTGGAGAAGAGAGAGGTCCAAGAATTCTAAGCTAGGAGCCGAAACATATCGGTGTGACTGATGCTTTTTTATTTCTGACATTTTCTGAATGAAACTTTTACTAACGCATTGTCGGACTAATTACCTTCACGACCTCGCTAATAAGCCTATGCTCCAACAGTGCATAATATATTACTATTCTCTTATTCTGTCAGGAAGGGCGACAGTCTATTATTTTCAATAATATTTACGAAGTGACATCTCAGCCGCTGTATGTCATGGGAATAGTTTTCTGAGCAAGGGTTTCCACCCAAAATTATGGTAGTGATGTATGCCGCCGCGTATACACCACAACTGTAACAATCTGGTTGCGCCTGAACTCTTTCAAAAAGTATATCATTTTTGCGAATATGAGGAAATCGTAATGCAATATATTTTTTTTCTTCCTCTACGAGCTTGTCGTATGCACTGCCAGGTAAACTGTCGTATACATGGAGTTTGCGACCGTCGAAATAGATACTTCGCCAGTGATCAGAACAGTTGCCTCCAATTATTTGCACGCTTTTGTCACTACAGCAGGGCTTGATAAATTTTGTAAACTGTAAGTATAGGACACTTTGCGTTTCAAAAGGAGCAGTTTCTCTGACGACACGCAAAAATCGATCTAACAATTCATCGTTTAATTTACTTTGCACAGGTAGTACATTTTTCTGTACGTCAGTTACGGAAGAAACAGCAGTCTCCAATATATAGTATCCTACATCATCATCTATGAATTTTTCTTCTTGGTCGGAATGACTGACAATGACACACTCGCTATTTACTGCTTCAACGGTCATATTTGATGCTTCAACACTGTTCTGTATCATGTTTTCATATGTACGCTTTTTTGTGATTTTTCTACTAGATTTTTGAATTGATGCGTCTTCTTTTGCCCGTAGTATGTATTCTGGATTTCTAATAGGCATGTGTCTATTGTGGCGGCTGTCCAATATTTCCGGAAGCATGCATTCTTCGTAGAAACGCGTTAGGAAAGGTTCCATATGATTCGTCCAAAACGCGTCGTCCCTATTTACGTGGATCATATGTATGCTTTGAGGTGTCCAGATAGCGAAAATACAGTACTTCCGCTGTGTTATATGCAACTGACCTTGTACTTGGTAGAAATACTGGTGCTTCCTATTCATTTCTTGTATATCTCTCTTATCGAAGATGTTTCGTAAGTGACGTATTGTTTCTATTGCGTCTGTCGCTGTCAAATTCTCGGCAGATTGCGGGCATTTCAGTTCCAGTAAACCGTCATCGTCGATAAGTCCATCAGGAGATGCACCCAAGTATGGAATGTCGCGATCAATGAACAATCCACAAGTTCGAATTCTTGTTTTCATTGCGTTCGCCACGTCTTTTCTTGCTATGTGTTCTTTATCGCGGCCGTATTTCATAGCAGCGGTATCGACAAATGGAGGATATAAAATGTTTTTTACCATTGCTGCGCAGGACGTTGTTTGTCTCATGCGACACACTGCTCCAAAATTCGAAGCAGTTAGCATTTCCTCCTTCAAAGTTCTCCATAAATCTGAATCGTTTTGCTCTCTTGTGTTCGTTTCTATTATTGTACGATTTTTTGCATTGTCTGCAAGCTTTTGAAAATGTTCCTTGCGAAGTTGAAGCAGCATATCACTCGGAAGATCTGGTCTTTGCGAGTTTGGACCATAATATTTATCCGTTCCTTGCACTGGCTTTAATTTCCTTGTCTTACCATAGGTCATTCTAAATTGTTTCGTTTTTGCAACTTTTTTTTGTCGCCGTTCCTCCAATCTCTTTACTAGTGGCGGAACGGTTTTACACATGTTCTTATGCATTTCTGTAAGTACTTGTTGCGTATTGTATTGCGTAACAGCTCCTGCAACTCTAGCATTGTAGGAACCTCTTGCACCAAAATTAATACGTTTTCCACCAATCTCTTTGCAGATAATTGAATTAAAAGTTTCTGCGGGATTGTTTGTAACATTCATTAACAAGCTATCCGAATAGCAGCTGAGGAATCGTATGGCTTTCTCGACTTCGCTATACAGACCGAACAATTTCAAAGATGGAACGTAATTTTTCTCAGCTCTGTTTACGTCCGGCATACACGTATGGTTGCGGCTATTGCACTCCTTATGCTCACCAAATATATGGCTAGGAATACTTAAAATGTCCTTCTGAAGTTCTCTAGCTTTGATATGCTGAGGCCCTTTTTCTTGTTTTCGCGCATTGACTGCTAAAACAACAGCTCTACGAATATTTAAAATATTTTTTTTAATGATATTTCGGTATGCAACATAGCCACGAGCTCTCTGACCCTTCGTTTGCGTTTTCTCCGCAACGTGTCTCAACTTCTTACATAAATTACGAAGTAAGTGATTGGTACACTCTACTTTTCTAACAGTTACTTTTTGTTCTCGGTAAGGTCTGTTATTCACAATAGTATGATAGACGTTGCTATCACCATCGGCAACAACCGTTCTATATATCAAGCCATGCATTTGAATGCTGCAATTGAAACCTTCAGCAATAGCATCACTTTCCATGCTACTAGAACTGGCATAACGATCATAATTTTTATAACATTTATGATGTTTTGGGGATTTAGCTTTTCGTTCCGCTATATCACATATTGTGCAGTATTTATTTCGTATGCCGATAAACAGAACTTTTCCTGTGCGGAAACCTAGAATGGCACCAACACCGGAAAGTGAATTATAATTCGTACCATACGATCTCTTCATCCAGCTACCATCCGCTATGACAGTTATGAACGGGATACCGTCGACGACTTCGTTGTTTTCATAAGCTAATCGTCTTTCTTCTTCGCCTGCTGCCTGCATGGTATGCATTGCGCTTTTCATAAACTCATCGACAAGTTTTTCACGGTACCTGCGGTACGTCGTTTCAGCCATGCAGGGCATGTTCAGGGCGGCGCATAATTCTTCTAATTGTGCATAGCCGATTCCGACTGTAACAGTCGCGGTCGTCATGGCCTCATTTACATTCGTTATATCTGAATGCATAGGTTCCGACCAAACAGTATCTTCGTAATTGCACATTTGGCACTTGAAGAAAAACTGTGTCAGACATCCATGCTGGCGACTACCGATCATTTTCCAATCGCGGAAATGACATTCAATACCTCGCGCATGATTGTCGAACGTTCTATGTATTTCATTCCAGAAGAAGTGAACGTCAACAACGCGGCGGCCTTCTGGCACATTATCCGAAATACGTCCCACATCAAAGTGTCCGACGCCTACGACGAAATTGTCGTCGCTATTGTCCAGGACGTTTTGTACAGTGAGTCTCTCACTTGTACATTCGCATTGTACAACGACAGTTTCATCGTTTTTGCGAAGGGCGTTTTCTGATAAGATGCGCCCCACATCGTTATTTTCGCGAAGGGCGTTTTCTGATACGATGCGCCCCACATCGTTATTTTCGCGAAGGGCGTTTTCTGATAAGATGCGCCCCACATCGTTATTTTCGCGAAGGGCGTTTTCTGATAAGATGCGCCCCACATCGTTATTTTCGCGAAGGGCGTTTTCTGATAAGATGCGCCCCACATCTTTTACATTATTTGGGAGAAATGAAGGATTTTTATCAGATATATCTGTCTGACTATCGTCCTTTACAGTTTTCCCAAAAGATTTTAGTGGTACATTATATTTTTCTTCGAAAACTACAGCAGCGTCAATCTTCATTGTCGACAATTGCCGTTGTTTCTGTCGCCTGCAAGGTAGAACGCATAAAATTATAAATATTTATAGGATAATTCATACAAATTACTGAAATGTATAAATCTGAAACACGTACAGTTTTCTGTAACCACTTTTCAGGGAGAGTTTTCTCCCTACACGCAATCCTTTACGAATACTACCTTTTTGATTTCCCATTTGTGTTTATTTTTTTCACAAATGCTTGGAAATTTTTTGAATAATATGTCTTCTACGTTACCGTGAAGACGTCTTATTGTTAGAAAGAATTAGATGACAACGCGGGCCATGGCAACGCGCTTCGTAGATGTGAAACAAAAACGAAACGCCAACGCTGTCGCGTTTTCTAATTTCACTGGCATCGTCAGTTCAACGAATGCTACCAAGGAGAGAACAGGGTAATGGCATCGAAGATGGAGAAAACCGACAGTAAGTGTTTCTTTTTATCTTTACTTCGCGGGTGACATTGATGTCTTTCGTACATTAAAATGAGTTATGTGCATTCTTAAAATTTCATCGAGATCGGTCAATGCATTTAGAAGTTATAAGTAAATTTCAGATAATCGCCTAAGAACAGAAGTAGTTACGTTCTTGGATGAAAAGCCACGATTTTCAGAAATTAATTACTTGTAACTTCTCAGTGCATTGACCGATCTCGATGAAATGTTCAGTATACACATAACATATTTTTTACAAATATTATATCAGTAGAACAGCAAAAATACCTTGATAAAATTTTTTAAATTCAAATAAGAAACTGGAAAGCGATCATTTTGACCCCTTTGGTAGTTCTAATGTCAAATTTTCATCACAGGCTGAAATAAAAAATTTGAAAATTGCCTTTTTTAGACGCGTCTCCCCGAGACAATGAAACAGACCACTATCCCAACGGTTTCTGCAACAATTGTTGCAATAATTGTTGGAATAATCGTATATTATATTGTCTCGTGGATACGCGTATACACTTTTACTATTTTATTCCAGATTTAGAATAATTGTAATTTTATATCTTAGTAAAGTATAGCTCATCGTCAAAGCTCGAAAAAATGTGCAATTTTCAGCCGATTTTCAGTTGTCTCCGCCTACCGCTATTCCCCTTGTCGCGACGTTCAGCGCGCAGCAAACGAACCGTTAGAGGCTCAGGAGCGTATCACTCGTAAACATATGCTGACACCCCACCTACGAGGTACTATTATCGATGCGTTTTTTGCCAGCATACGTTTACGAGTGATACGCTCCCGAGCCTCAAACGGTTCGGCGGCTGCGTGATGACACAGCAAGTGCAGCAGCTGCAGTTGCAACCGCAACAGCAGTTGCAACCGCAGTCGGAACTGCTGTTGCGGCTGCAACAGCTGTTACAGCAACAATCGTTGCAGATGCAACAAAACCAAACGGAGCTTGCTACCCTGCGGCAGCAAGTACAGGAATTGGGCGAACGGCAACATGCTGGGCTTATCGTAAGTCATTTCTTTGCGTTCATGTTCATACGTTATTTCTGCTATTGTTTATACATAATATCATAATATTTATTTTTGCAGCCGCAGCCACAGCACCAGCCAAAGCACCAGCCGCCGCACCAGTCGCCGCACCAGCCGCCGCAGCCGCAACACCAGCCGACGCATCCAACGTATCACTCCCCATTAGCCGGGCTCTACGGGCCGGAACAGCCAACCGTAAGTCGTTTTTTTACGTTATTTCTCTTATTCATTGTTTATGAATAATAACATTATATTTATTTCTCCAGGCATACAGGTCAGAACAGCGGCTGTTCCGGCAACGCCGCAGAGAGGCGAGGCGGCTGTGGCGGCAATCAACGTGCCGTGACGGTTGCGGCCGCGGCGGCGGCCGCAGTTACTGCCCCTGCAGCGGCCCGTGCGGATGCACGCACAACTGCGGCGCGGGCCGCAGCAGCTGTAGTTGCTGCTGCGGGCGGCACACTTGAAGTGAGTACGACGATAATATCTGTATAAGTAATAATGACACAGATAATATAAAAATATGATTTGTTTGATTTCAGGAAAAAATTATAAAATAAAATTTTATTTTTATTATTATTAAATTAGTATATTTTGTTGTAATAAATCATGCGTTTGATTAAAATTTATTGCGAGATAGAAATCGAAGGTTTTTCGAGTTTTATTATTTTCCTTATATATTATACCTGTGACTGGTTATTTTTATTATTATTAAATTAGTATAAGTTTTTTTCGTATTTTTATAATAAATATTATTCGTATTTTTATAATAAATATTTTCATTATCTACTTACATTCTTGTCATTTATTCCCCTATTACTTATCCTGTGTATATACTAACGATGTACATACAGGCTTACCTTGGTTATGTTATATTACAATAAATGTATATATAATATTTGGCTGAAGGAGTTAGGTCATTCATACATTTCCTAGGTGATGTATGCAGTATCGTATTTTATACTTTGGCGGTGGCGTACATAATATAGCTATCGTAGCATCCGTGTGTCATTTAGATGTATGCGAAAAGTGATGTAGAATAGCATGCCGTTAGTTGGATGCAATAATTGAGGTGGCGCTTAAATCAGTTTCTGTTCGGCCTAATTTTCGATGAAACGTTGACTGTTTTACCAACGCGGAATTCGGAGTTCGGTCTCGACGCTCGCATCACCTTAACTAATGGAATGATGCGATGTAGCAGGTCGTTGAATTCGTCTCAACACCCACTACAATATTATAAATAGAAAAATATAGGGTTCCATTTAAAAAAATTGTTTTGCTTTCAAAATCTTCCCCATCACTTCACCGATCGAAACGTCATCTGCACCACATAACAAACAAGATTTGTAGAAACATTTTTTGGATAGCTTTAACCCTTTAGGAGATATTTGACCATTCGCACTTAAACGTAACACCCTGTATGTATTCAGTAATATTTTTTGCTCCCTTAAAATAGCAAATGATAATCAAACGTTACGTCGCTTTAAACAACAGACCATTTCCTATTTTCATGACGAGTTTTAGAACTTTTCAATAGTTTTTAAGCTTTTTTGTTTATAACTTTTTATAATTGTTTAAACAGCTTTGTTTCAACATAAACAAACACTATACATTAAGACGAACAATTTTCGTTTATGAAGTTTTTGGATATCTTTAATGGTTTCGGAGCAATAGGACATATTGCGAGTAACTGCAGCATCAACAAGGATAAGGGCGGTTTTTGCAGGAAATGTGGACTGGAGGGCCATTATATGAAAGACTGCACGAAGGAACCGAGGTGCAGGCTGTGTGTGGCCGATGGACTTCCAGAGGCGCATACAGGGCACGTAGCTGCGTCGGTTAAGTGTCCGTGATACAAAGAGGCGATGAAAGAAAAAAGGCGCGGGTGAGATGAGGATCCTACAAGTCAATGTGAACCATTGTAGGCTCGCGCACGATCTTTTGATGACAAGTGCGATGGAACAGGGAGCGGACCTGGTAGTAGTGGCGGAACCCTACAACATCCCTGACAATTGGTTCAGTGACACTACGGGTAGGGCGGCGATTTACGTTACCAGTTCTGGTTTGGCCAATAGTAAGAGCGTCACCATTGCGACGACAGCCGCGGATCGGCGTCTCGCATCGCGCGCCCCCACCGCGGCGGCATCCCCACTCCCGGGCGATTAGAGTATAAGTAGGACCGATCGATGCGCGGATCGATGAGTTGCCTCAGGGGTTCGGCCCCGAGGGGACCTCCTCGGAGGTCCGGACCGAAGCACCAGAGCTCTCGACGCCATGGCTGACCTGGCGAAGAGATCTCTGACCAATGGGCCGTAGCATTGCACTGTACTACGACCTGGCAGCTCCCATAGGTCCAGCGGCCGTAGGCGCCTAGCCTCGTCAGTCCCGTGGTTGACCCGGGATGACCAAGCTAGTGCGCGTTCATAATCTCTGCCGGTGCTTCCGCGGGGATTCCGAACGCTAGCTTACTCGGCACCGCAATTTGCCTTTGGCAGCCGATTCCGTCCAGCTTTGTGGCGTTACCCAGGCTAGCCAGGATTGGTCGTCGACTCGTTCGCTGTTCGGTTCTACCTCGGCGTACGAGAAGACGAGCCGCGTGAGGCAAGCGGGCAGCAACTCCACCGCAGCGCGAAACACCGCAGCGCGATTGAATAAATACCGTCGGCCCAACCGGGCCAATCCCACCCCGACTCGACCTCTCTTGCGTTTGCGTACGTTTGCGTTTGTTTGCGTTCGCGCTCCGCTCAGCGCTCTCACTCCGCGCTCCGACATCGCGCCGTTAGTTGTAAGACCGCGTAGCGATGGCTACGACCTGCGCTAGAATTAAGGCCGCGTATTTTCTGTGACGGACCGGGTTCCGACCGTAGTTCATAAGTCCTGTATATTATGCTTAAGATTGGCTCCACGCGTCTAACCACCAGACGATATTTTGATTGTAGCTCCCGAGGCAGGAGAGCACCGCCCGACCAACCGGCGAGGGTAGCCGCCGTTAGGAATCCCACTTCACTTTACTTTGAATAAATACTTTATTTTTCTACTAACACCGACTCGTTATTTACCGACCTGTTCCCATGCGAACCCTGGCACGGGGAAAACCGCCGCGGTGCGCAACGCCGTGCGCACCGAACCGACCGACCCCGTTACAGGTTAAATTCCAAACAAGCGGGAGGCACAGGCATACTTATACGAAAAGACATTAAATTCAAAAACATACAGACAAACAACATCACTAACAGCACTTGCTTCGAAGCAACAGTTCTTGAAATCAAATTCCAAAATAACTGCAAATTATACCTCATATCAGGATACGCCACAAGAAGCTGCAAAAAAGAGCCCTTTTCGACTCCCTCGAACTACATAAAATAAACAATTACTACCTGCTCGCGGGCGACCGAAATGCTAAGCACCATACGTGGGGAAATACCATAAATAACGCGCGCGGAGTGTCCATCAACAAATGGCTCTCTGAAAATAACATCACCTATAGAACTACACTACTCAGTACCGCAACCCCCTCTTATCCAAAAAGCGGAGCTTTCATAGACCTCTGTTTGGCGGACAACAGAATCAAATTCCACGACACACCCGCAACTAACCTTTTGCAATCCTTCAAATACGATAGCGACCATAGAGCGACAAAACTAACAATATCCATTCCGACAACGGACTACTTCCTATTCGACGAAACAACAGCTAATATCAAATATAACTTCAACAAACCGGACTGGGACAAGTACAAAACGTTTCTCTCAGAAAAAGACAACATTGACATACCCAACGACAGAAACCTCACGACTACATATGCAGACTAAATACAAACATCTTAGAAGCGATAGACCTAGCTGTCCCGCGCATAGACAATAACTTCAACTCCACAGACAGATACATCACCCCAAAAATAAGAAACCTCCGTAAACATAAAAGCTTTCTAATCACCCAAATCAATAGACTCTCAAACCTACGAAAGTACACAGAGACAAACGACCCAATCATAAAAACTCTTAAAAAAAAACTCAAAAACACCAGATACGAAATAAAAAAAGCCTTCCAAGAATCAATAAGCAGTTACTGGAAAAACCGAATCAGCAAAATTTCCTTACATAAACATAACGATCTATTCCCATCGATAAAGAGTACATATATTCCGGACGAAAAACAGCGAAGACATCGAAACCCTTAAAATCCCCACATCAAACACGGATCTCCTTGACAAAGCTAACCTAAATGCCAACCAACTAACCAAAGACGCAAACTCATTCCTAGTCACCGACATGCAAAGCAAACTCGACACCTTAGGTGCACACTTTGAATCCGTCCACACACAAAACATGTACATGGGCAAACAGCAACACACAAACATAGTGCAGAAGAAAATAAACACACTAAGACACGAAATAGAGCAAAACAGGGATAACAATGCCACACTCTGCACTTTCTCCGACAAGAACACCGCGAACAACCCTGACCAAGAATCCGTCCCTCCCAATTACTTCACATCGTTCCACAGGCTCATATATACATTCAAAAACCTAAACAACAAAAGATCCTCCGGCTTTGACGAAATACCCAATATCGCATTAACCCATTTGCATCCAAGCGCGGAATATTCCGCGAGCCGCAACTGTCATCTATCACCAAGCGCGGAATAATCCGCGAGGCTACGACTACTTTCTTTACCAATTGCGAAATATTCTTTGGTTGCGACAGACCACGTTTAGAGCATTTCTTCGTCTTTTTGTGAAAATCTTTCAAACTGCCACTATGAGTAAGTGCTGTCAATCTGTATTTAAATTCAAGAAATCCAAGTTTAGAAAACAATCTTATTTTATAATTTAATCTAAAATTTAGTTGCCCCAATGGATTTTGAGTATCTTGATTCGGATTCAAGTATTGAGGTACGACGTCCTAGAAGACGTAGTCGGAGGATTTCGTCAAGTGATGATAGCGAAAATGATCAGTGCGGCAGTAGTATAAATCAAGAGTACGTGTGGAAAGCCGAAAATCATACTCCCATTATACATGAGTTTTCAAGTGCGGGTGGTGCAACCGTAAATACACGAGGTCTGACGAGAAGGGAGATTTTTGAACTATTTTTTAACAAGGAGTTAATTATAAAGATAATTACGGAAACAAATAAATATGGCGCAAGCGACGCAGAGTTTATACCTCTTGAAGAAGACGAATTAAAAGTATTTATTGCTTTAAATATTTTAATGAGTCTAGTTTCTAAGCCCACGATTCAAAGCTATTGGACTACTGATAAAAGTATAGAAACTCCGTATTTTAAGAATATCATGAAACGACCATCGCACGGCCCAAAAGAAAGAGCAACGCCAACACACTACCTGCCCCAACAAAGGAGGACCTACAAAAGGCAACCACGTCATCCCAAGGAAGCCAACACAAGAAACCCAAATTTGGAAACGAGGTAAATGTACCCAAACAGATTAATTTAAATAACAAACCCCCACCAATAGTAGTATACGGAAATACATGTAAGAAAACAATAGAATTAATCAGTAAAAT